ACCAAAATCAAGTTTGGCGCCAAATAATTTAATAATCTGAAAAAAACTTCCTTTCTGCTGATATTTAACATCCAATGTTCTTCAACCTTAACGCCGTCCATCACTCAGTATAATCTATAAATTGAATTTTCGAATATGGTTCTTGCAAAAAAAGTAGATTGACTTGCTTTTTTTTGAATTTTTTCAATGATAATTTTTTGTCCATTTTTATTTTGTCAAGTTTTTTGTTCCTTAAAATTAATTTATTAACATAAGCAAAAAAATAAGAAAAATCATTTCTAATAACTTGTCGACCGTAAAAATGATAGTACTAGACATTCATGTTACTTAATCTTAATTTTATTCAATGATTATTTATAAAGTTTTTTCTTTTATTTTTTTTCTTCTTCATTTGTTATCTCTGCCATTTAATTATTTACTTTTTGTTTCCGTGGAAAAATTTCATTTTCCCACGAAATTTTCATTTTTTTATATTTTATGTTTTACTTTATTTTTTAAAAAAAATTATTCAACAAGGAGATCAAAAAATATTAATTAATCATAAATTGAAAATAGTGAAAAAATGAAGTTTTATATAATAAATTTTTATTGTTTTGAGGATTTGGTAGAATTTTTAGAGAGTTTTAAAGAGATATTGGTCGAATTTGACTCAAAACTTTTGATTTTCAAACATTTTTTGATCGTTAAATTTTTAAATATATTTTGAGCGTTATTTCTTTCAAATATACTTTAACCGTTGTTTTTTAAAATATATTTTGGCCGTTCCTTTTAAATTCCTCAAAACTCATCCAAAAAAGCTTTCCAAAAACTTCAAAACTTTTAAATAAAATTCATTTTTTATAGAAAGTAAACGAACAAAGAGTTTGAATGCAATTTTATGAATTGTCGTTAATAGGAAAACCTTAAATTTAAATTTAAATAATATTTACAATTAATAAAAATTTACATTAAAATTATATTTATTCACATGACAAAAATTAAAATATTGTCATGCATCGTTGAAGGTAGTAAAAATTAATTAACTTAGATTTATTACTTACAAATTTGTGAAAAATTACTGAATGACAAGTGCGAAAATTAAGTTTTTAAAATTAAAAACATGGAAAAAAGTTGTATTTTGTAATTGTCACATAAGAGCTCTTTTTGCTCTAAATTGTTATTTGTTTTTTGGAACTGCTCTACTTATTTCTCATTGTATAGATTTCATTTTCATTTATGCACGATGAAAACGTTTTGTTTAGTTTCAATTTTTTTGGTGGGTTTTAACATACAAAATAAAATAAAAATGAAAAGTTATGAACATGAGTAACGTAACGAGTGATTAAGGGCATCCAATTTCCCAACATATTATGCTCGAGTTTCGTTTTTAGAACAAAATAGAACAATTGAGTATTTAATATTTATGTATGGCTATAAAAAAGCAGCAGCAGCAGCAAAATACGTTCTGATGTGTTTTATGGTGTTTTGTAACATTTTTGTTCTCAGCGTACATAAGAGTTTGTTGCTGATTGGCATGTTCTAGTGCCTTAAAAACATTTCATTTCAAACAAGTGTGTGGAACTGATCAAAAATAATCAAAAACAGTTTAATCAGTTCAATACATTTGATTTATATTATGTTTGATTTTAAGCGTGTGTTTAATTAGAACTTTTGGAGGTCCGGATAGACCAAAGGCTGTATACGACCCACAACATATCTAAGGAAATACCCCTGACTCTTTAAATGATACAACCTTGCCAATAGAATAGTTTACTGATTAGCAATCAAACATTACAAAGACATGAGGGTGCCTTATCCACAAAAATGGATGCTGGGTTATAAGTCCAGAGATTATAAGTCCAGATACAAAAATCGTGCACAGAAAATTATAAGTCCAGAAAATCAAAGTCAATAAAGGTTTATAAGTCCAGATACAAATTGCACCTGGACTTAAACACCTCAAGTGCAGTTTATATGTCCAGGTACAAATACAGCTGGAATTATAAACTGCACGAGAGGTTTTTAAGTCCAGGTACATTTTATATCTGGACTTATAAACCTCACGTGTGGTTTATAATTCCAGAAAATTTATAAATTTTACTTATAAACTCCTAGTGCGATTATAAGTCCAGATACATTTTTCTGGACTTATAATCCTTGAAAATTATTTTTGAAACTATTTCAATTTTTTCCTTTAAAGCAATTCTACAAATGAACTTTTAAAAACTTGACACAAAGAATTCACTTTTCTCTGATTTTTTTTTTCCTCTAAAGTACCTTATATATCCTTTTCAGCTGTTGTATTTCATTGAAATCATTGCAAATAACTTTTTAAGAATATCTTTTATGCTTTAATTACGGATAAATTTTTTAGAAAAAGATCGAATTTTCTTCAGCATCCGTAGAATTGAAAATTGAATGTCAAAGAAACTTTTTGTATGTATCATCATACGCATACTTAATTATAATAAATTAAACGTTTTATCTTCCAAATCATTATTGTTGCTTAGAGATTAACGGCGTTTCATTTTTCAAATTCTCTACTTTATATAAAGTTTGTTGGTCCGTTTGGGTTTTTTTTTATCGTTCTTCCTTTTTATGTGTTCATGCTGGGTGGACGTGATCTTTCACGAAGTAATATTTTTATTTCTTTTCCTTCCACCTTTTTTATTCATTTAAAAATTGTTTTACTTTTAGAAAAATTGAATCGTAATCGTTTCAGTACAAAATATATAAATTCACGATACAATTATTTGTGTTTTATTCGTCCACTCGACACATTGTTTAAATAGAATTTTAAGGAAGTTTTGGAAGATAAATCAATTTTTCTGATGTAAATTTACGTCTCCGAAAAACTTCTGCTTTTATTTTCCTAATACGTTTTAAAAAATTATTTTTTAAAATTAAAATTTTATTTCATATAACTTGGCAAGTCAGCTAAGCTTTGCTTAGCATATGGTTGAGATTTAAAGCTTACCAAACATTCTATAATGTTTTTTTAAAAAAAATTTCATTAACCAAACTTTAATTTTATAAACTTTTATAAACAACATTCTAATCAAAGAAATTATTGGTAATTAAAGTAAAACTTGATTTTTTAATATCATTTTCTCACGGATTTGGCTTAAACGTTGTTATATTACATTAGTTGCAATAAACTTATTCATTTTTCTGTTCATTGGGTGTCTTTCAAGACAATTTAAGTATGCAGAATCATAGAAGATGATATAATGAACGGAATAATAACCATTTTGATCGAAACCCAACTAGTGTCATAAGAAAAAGCGAGATTGTTTACCATATGGTCAAAAAAATGTCATCCATCTTGGATTTTCTACATTTTGGCGATTCTCCAGAACAGTGGAATTTTTCAAAATAAGCTTTTATAATCCATTGTCAATTATGCTTCCATCATAAATATATATTCCGCAAAAATTTTAAATTTTTCATCAATAATAATTTACTTTTATTATAAATGATGAAATTTGTCAAAAGTGTAGCTTGAAAGTTCAGAATTACAGTATTTTCGATCAAAAAATTTTGTAATTTTTTAACACATTTAATTATAGGAAAATTTAAGCTTTTGCATTGCTTTTTGACAAAAAATTGACGTTTGGAGAATTTAAATTTCTAGACAGATCTTCATCTATCATTAAGTGTACATTTAATGCTGCAAAAATGAGGATTTGATATGAAATTTTTGATTACCCTGATGAAACTTTTACAAAATTTTATTTTTGGTCACAAAGAAACGGGCCGAAGAATTGAAATATCTTAATAATTAGGACAATTCATGCTTAGACAAATAACCAAATAGATAGGAAATATAAAATCAGATAAAATGAAAAGCTTCTAAGGTTTAGTGAAAAATTTCGACAAAAAATTCATTGGAAGTCAAAATTTTTGCAATTTACCCTACTGGAATAATTTTCAAGGATTATAAGTCCAGAAAAATGTATCTGGACTTATAATCGCACTAGGAGTTTATAAGTGGGCCTCGACGTTTTTTTAAGGATTTTTGCTTAACTGAAAAAAATAATTTGAATTTTTCACTAACACTATCATACAAAACATCAAAAATTAAATTCTCAAAATTCTTAATGATTCAATAATTAATCCAAAATATTGTGATTTGAATAGGAAAAGTAGATTATGCATTAGCTGTTTCGACTATTTTAAGAGCTTTTACATCATTATTGAGTGATATTTTCGTGACTTTTCAAATTTAATTTTGATTTTGTTTGTAAACAAACACATTACAACCGAAAAAATTCAAAAAAGTCAAAACCGTTAAAATTTTTTTAACTTAATTTTGTCCATTTGGGTATGTTAATGCAGCAATTTTAAATTTTTTATAAACTCAAAAAGAACAGAATTGAATTTCGGACCTTAAAAAATACATTTGGAGATATATCAATAAACAGTAATGAAGATATAGCAAAATTCCCAAAAATTGTGCGTGACGCTCAGTTAAAGTGATTTTTTCGAGTAACTGTAAACTTTCATGAAGTGAATTGTACAACAATAGATGGGAATTTTAATTCCCTTTTCAAAAAAGTAACTCTTAAATTTGTCACTTTTAAGGATAAGGAAATAATCAAGAATAACAAAACGTCACTCACGTACAATTTTTTTGTGACTTGGCCCAAGTAAAATTTATAAATTTTCTAGAATTATAAACCACACGTGAGGTTTATAAGTCCAGATATAAAATGTACCTGGACTTAAAAACCTCTCGTGCAGTTTATAATTCCAGCTGTATTTGTACCTGGACATATGAACTGCATGTGAGGTTTTTAAGTCCAGGTGCAATTTGAATCTGGACTTATAAACCTTTGTTGACTTTGATTTTCTGGACTTATAATCTCTGGACTTATAGTTTCTGGACTTATAACCCAGCATCACAAAAATGACGTAAGCCACAGTGTGCTGCTGTGATACATGCATTGAGTCACAGAAAATTAAATAAAGTTCCTTAAAAGTTAAGCTTTAAACTTTTGATAAACTCAATTTTCAAGCAACTTAGTTGAGTCAATTGAATGCCATAACCTGAGCGACATAAAATAGTTAAGAAGCAGCCATAAAGCAGCCCTTGTGTCGCTCGAAAATTAAAATATAAAAAATTTAGCTACAATTTGATGAAGAAGCTCCTAAATTATTGACAAAAAAAAAATAATAGTCAAATAACATAAAAAATAAACTGTCAGATGTAAAGATTAATTCCGACTCAAAGCTAAATGTTCTCATCCTTGTCAAATTACAGCAAAAAAGGAAAATTTTCAATTTGTTTTTGATCACATTTTTCAAAGGATTTCTTTGCCTTTTTGGTAAAAGTTTGTTTCGTGATAAAAAGTTTTTGATTTGAAATTTAATGAATTTTCAGGTTTTTGGAGGAGTTTGTGGACTTAAAGATTGTCTGTGGATTTGGGTTTTGAATTGTTTGGTTCAATTTGACTGCTATGCTTATTGAAGCATTTTAGACATCTTAAATCTGGAATTGAAATCACGTTTTTGGGAATAAACTAGTTGGACAGATTCGAGTATCCTCAACTTGACATTATGTTCGGCTGTCAATAGAACTAGAACATGAGTTCCCAAAACCTATGAATCGAATATCTTCAAGACCAATAAACCATCAACAATGCAAAACCCAATCTACAAATCAACCCTGATGACAAACATATCCCAAATAGCTTAATATAGACGCGAATGTAAAGAAGTAACGAATTCTACGGAAAAGCTCACAATCAACTTTGATTTATGAAAGAAGAACTGCTTATTTGCGAAGAATTAAAAGACCATCAAAAGCGAGCAATCAAAACAAAGTTTTGTCATGAAAATCCATTAAATTTATGTTAAATTCCAAAGCGTTCACAAAAAGATAAGAAAAGTTTTTTTTATAGTTCACCAAAAAAAGCATTTTTTATTTTGATATTTTTTCAATTTTTTTTTTCTTGAAATTTTCCTTTTTTTTCACATCGTCACTACTTTTTAAACATCTAAAAAAGGTTTCTCTAGCAATTAAATTTTATTTTTCATCATAGTTCCTTAAAATCTGTCCTTATCATTCTAAAAAAAATTTCTTCGTCCTCTAATTCAATTTTATTTATTATTCTTTAAATCATCTCTCGGCATAATGCAATAATTCATTTCATGTTTTGTTGTGGTTTTCAATTTCTTTCGAGAAGGAATTTTTTTGTTATCAATTTTTAATTCTTATAATTCTGATACTTCACATCATTTATCACTTTATTTTTTGTTTTAAAAATTGTTTCCTTAAATTCAATTATTTTTATATGACCTTTTTTATTTGAGGGGGTTTGTTCACTTTATGACGTCATAGGAGAGTAGGTATCCAACCTAAGAAGATGTAAACTCTCTTATACTAATTTAAATCCATCGATTTAGAGGATTAACTTAAAAACGTTACCAACAAAAGAATTTTGACATGTTTTCAAAGATATCCTCTAACAGCACTTATGTTCATTAATATGAATCTAGAAATGCTAGGATCTGCTAGGATTGATTGTTTATGACCCAACCTAAATAGGATCATCGACATCACATCTAATTGAATCCAAAGAGGTCAAAAAATTTTATCGAGATTGAAGTTTTTTTACAACAACTTTGAAACCCCTTAAAGAATTCTAGCTACAGCCTATCATAAGGATCCCTGTTTAATAGAAATTTGATCCCAAATTTGAACGATCATCTGGATAATAAATCTCATTTTAGTGTAGAAACTTATCTGAAATCCCTTATAAAATTCCTAAATACACCCCTCATGATATCCTTTAGATTCCAAATTCTACATAGAATAACACAAAGGAGTATGTGTCCAAAATCCACCAACTTTAATCACTTGTGAACAAAACCCCCTCAATTCCTCAATCAAATTCAATATTCTTCTTCTTTCCTTTCGCTTTGTTTGACTTCCCAATTTTTTCTCTAATTAATTATGTTTTTTTTTTCTTTTCTTTTAAATTTATGACTCGATTGGTATCTTTTTGTATCTTTAACATTATAATTATTATTACAAATTTGTGTGTTTGCTTGTAAACTGACTCTTAACACTTAATGAAAAGGTTATTTTGGGGATGTGATTTCACAGTGGCATCCTTACAGCCTTTCAGGTACCCTAGCACATTATGTGCTTTATGGATAACCTCAGTAAAGTCATCATTAAGATCACCATTGACAACCACAGTTTCCCAAACATTATTTCTGCGGATTTTTTTCTCTTTTGTCGGAAATTGGGAAGGGATTGTATTATGTAAAAGAAAAAAATTAAAAAGCTAACAGAAAAGACGATAAATTATCCAAAAAAAAAAGGTTTGCTGCAACACGAGATCAATGCAACACAAAACAACAAATAAAGTCGCTTTTACATACGTGAAAATCTTCTTAATCCTCTTCTTTTTCTTTATTTAACTTAAATTGTATTTAATAAACGCGATTTTCCATCGATTGAAATGATATTCTCATCATTATGTTGATGCTGACGCTTTAGTTGATTGTTTTTAATCGATGCGGTTAAATAACGATTCACAGCTGATGCGACGGCAGCCTCAAGTGTATTTGTTGTGTTTGTATCATTTATAGAATTATTAGTTGTCAATTTCTGATGCAGCAATGATGTTAATGATGGTGATCCTGATTGGGAAGTTGGTGTATAATGAGATGAATGGGCTACTAATGACGATGATAATGAGGATGATGCTGACATCACGGTCAATGATGTCAACGCTTTATTTCAGCTCATTTTTACACGTTTGCGTGGTGGTCCGATAGGTGGTATTTGTTGCGTTGCTAGGGCACGAAACGCCTCGTTTATAAGGTGCGGATGAGTTGTTACCATATTTTTCCAGCCAACGGTCTCCATTACGTCTGTTGCATGACTGCTGGGAATGAAAAATTCAAAAAAAGAGAAAATTTATTAAATTTATTTCATTTGAACGGGAATTTTAGTGACATTAAGTCATTTGAGGTACGACTTCATGTCGATGTGGGGTCAGTGAAGGATGACGTTAGATATATGGGGCTGGAAGGGTGTCAGAAACTATCGAACACTTCAAAATATTTATATTAAGAATTTTAAAAACAAGTAGCACTTCATTTGACTATCGATGCTCAGTGCTAGATGTCAAAAAAATCAAAATATATCCCATAATGACAGTCATCCATGAATGATCGCACAGAAAGATTTGTAGTGTAACTTACGTGTTAATAAAATCGATTGTTTGTGCTTTTAATTGATCCGCACTATGAAGGTCCGCAAGTATTAATGTCTCGGCTGCTGTCTCCACTGATAAATTCACACACAATGCCTCCTCGCACATCACTTTGAGTTTCTCAAGAGCATACTGGCGAATTAAAAATTAATTCAAAGTTAAAATACTGTCCACATAATGAAAGATAAAGGCAATTTACCTTATCAGCTGCTGCTAGTAAATCATCAGCCATTTTTTCCAAGTTTGGTGCCTTTCCAGTGTATATGAATCGAAGCATTTCTTTGAGTACTTCATGATCTACATCGGTGATTGCGACGCGATTCTGTTTTCGTTCTTCCATTTCGTGCTCAAACATGGCGGCAAAGACAGGACTTCGTGCTATACGCAACAATAAAAAATCAGCAAATTAAAATTGTCTGCTTTAATGTCCACAAATAAAAGACTTACCAGCAAGAATGGCTTTATGTGCCTGAAACTCTCGTCCGCCAACCGATAATGTCACATCACTAAATTTCTCATTATCAAATAAATTGCCCAAATCTTCTGACAGCTTACATTCTGGCACTTTGAATTGAATTATATTACTTTGTCCTGATATATTAACGCTGTCAGCCACAACACTGACCTATAGTTCGGTCCAATAAATTGATGCATTCAAAACATAGTCGAGATTGAGTCGACGACGATGAAGAAGAAGAAGGAAAATGAAAGAAAGAAAAAAAGAGAAAATCCATGTTAAAGTAAAAGTTTTTTGATGTGTGATTTTTTTTAATGTTTCAATTATTATGAAATCATTTTTTTTTGAGAGGCGCACGTTGCGCTTAACACACTCTCTTGTTGGTGGGTAATGTTACGTCATATTTTTTATTTTCATTTCTTTGAATGTAAAAGCCACAATCACCATGACCAAAAATGGCATAATTTACAATGTGGAATGCCTTTTTGCTGCTCTTTCTCTTTTTTTTTCAATTAAAAAGAGAAGAAATTTTTCATAATTTAAAATATGACGTAATATATCAATAAATCCCCTTGTTCAAGAGAGTGGTGCTATAACTATCAGAAAACACAAAAAAAAATGAAAGCGAAAGTAAAGGTTTATGGCATTATTATTATTCGAAGGCATATTGCTCACCTCACAGAAAATTGTTAATTTGTCCTCGGGTAAAAGTCCATTTGCTTCATCTAGTAGAAAATCACGTCGAATGAACTTTTTGAAGCCCCAATCTTTTCCTTGTACGAAGCGATATGCACGTTGTGATTCCATTGCTTTGGTCTCTTCGCGCTTGGCATTCAGTATTGAGAATTTGAATTTGGCTCGAACTTCCGATTTATTGCAGGATACAAGGAGCAAATACAGTGACAGATAGTCTTTACTTTCCTCGTCGAGGCCTTTTGGATTCACTCGCAAACACCTGTTTGATAGGAATTTAAATTTAATAAATTAATTTGGTTCCTATTTGTAGGAGTGGGTTGTAGGGCATCTAAACTAGGGTTTGTATTGAATGGATGTATGTGTATGCTGGTATAAGCTAGGCTTAATTAAGTAGCATAATATCCATTGAGGATCTAAGCAACCAGTCCACTTTAGACATTAATTTCACATCCGCAATTCACTATACACGTATATCAAGTTCCATAGCACACCCTGTAGTCAATTCTAAGGCATATAGCCCTATACTTACCATTTAAGTTTGTCATTTGCTCCAGCTGAGAATGTGGATGATTTTAATACTTCGCCCATCTCCTCTCGACAAAAACTAAAATTGTTTATCGTCCACATATAACTAAATTTGACGACTTTAACCTGCAATGAGACAGTGGACATCCATTAGTATAATTCACAAAAAAAAATGTTAAATTAAATTTTTGATCACTCAATGAAGCACTCAATTTACCATAAAACTATAACTAATTTTAAAATTCTCGTATGTGACATTAAATAATATCAGCTCATGCTGTTGCTTTTTAAGCCCATCGTCCACCGATGAACCACACATTGTCTTATTTTTAAAATTCTTTCCAAAAATAGAATTAATAAAAAAATATTAATTTGTACTTTATCGTTGCGAGATGATACACAAATAAATCACAATGAAGGAAATAAAAAAAAATACACAAGAAAGAAAAAAATTCGCGTGCACTCGTGCGCTCGGCAAGGTATAGACAAAACTAGCCTCGTGTGCCGCGCTTTGGAGATTATTTCTTTCTTTCATTTTCTTCACTCACAAAAAAGTCGCATTCGCGATCATGAGCTTTCGCCTGTATATTATTTGTTGTTGTTACTTCGGCTTGTTTGTTTTCTCTTTACGTAAAAGAAATGTGAAGTGAAATGAAGGAAAAGAGAAGCATTACAACACACAATTGCATATAAAATGTATATATAAAGTCGGGGGAGACGACGGAACGAAAGCAACATTGAGAGAAATGGTGAGTATTGGGAAATGAATTTTATTTTTTGTTATGTTGAAACTTTTTTTTAATGTCGCACGTTTTTTTTATGAGGAAAGAGAATCTCTCTCGCGCAAAATATACTTAATTCCTCATTTTCTCGCCCATCTACAGCTCAATTCATACGCACAGAAAATAATATTAATAATTTACATTAATTTGAAAGGCACAGTCAGAAGTCAATTAGCCGTGTCTGACTAGAATTAATAATTTTATATTTTGGTTTATGACAAAAGTGACTTGAGGGCTTATTGTTTGGCAGAGAAATTTCAGACAATGAGTAATAAGATTGTTGGTGATCTTAGGTCTGTCGATTTCTTGTTGACATGTTCAAAGAGTTTTTTTCAATCCTGATAGGAGTTTTCATGTAGATACAGACCCCCTTAATTAGAAGTATGGTTCAGGCAGTCTTAAGATTCAGTTCAAAACTTGTACCTTTGACTACTAATCTTTTTGTCCAAAATCTACATGACTTTGTCTCCAGTTTTTAATATATATGATGTTTTTTGATCAGTCCTACTAGTAAGATTCGAACCCATGTCTTTCACTATTCAAAATCCCTAATCTATTCCTTAACCTGTCGCCCACAGAGGTCTTACATTCAGTCTGACAGATTAACCTATGTAAGGATATAAATCCCAGTTGTTGAACATCATAGCCTAACGATCCCCAAGGAAACAATTACTTCATAAATTTCCATATTGTTAAATCGTCAACAACTTGTTAGCAAAAATTGAAAAAAAGAAATACTTTTATGAAAGAAAACAGACACAAAAATCGTTAGCTGGATGTGAAAGTTGAGATTTCATTGATTTACTATCATAAAGGTCGACGATGACACACCACATCTGAGAGAGTGATATATTGCTTAACGATAATTCAATATAATTTATCATCATCATTCAATCATTTATATTAACTCATATTAACATCGTTTCCCTCATATATCATCCAATTTTATATGGATCGACATGGCAAAATGGCCTGAAATGCTTTTAAAAGCCTTAAGCCGAAATTTGGCATCATTATTCGCCATAAAAGTAGAGCAATTTTTTAAAGATCACAACCTTTTGAGTTTCCATTTCACCTTAAGGAAATTTTTTTTGAGATTTTTTTTATGGACGGTATAAAATGATGGATAATAATTTTATTAAGGGATAAAATGGAGCAAAAGTCGTTCAGTGATTTTAGGACATTGTAATTGAATTTTATTGATGATATTTTGAGATACTTGGGGTGGAGAATGTAAAAGGAAATGAGCTTCTGAATCAGTGTGGTAGAGATGTGAGTTATTGTTGATTGACTCAAGTATTTCAAGGTTGATTTAAAAATAATGGCTAGGTTCTTGAATATTCAGAATTATGAGATTGGGGACAGTTATAAAGCATGTTCTGATGTTCAACGTCGAAACATAACACATGAAACTGAGATAATTGAAGCCAAAAGAGGGTTTGACGTCTTGAATGCAAGATTTGGACATTCCTTTAGCCTCTTCTTCGCCTACCAACATGCAAACCAGTTCAAAGTCAACAGAGCTCGGTTTCTTTGGTATAATACAGTTTATACTCAAGAAACTAGTCTCAAAACCTAAGCGAATCTCTGAGTCAATTTAAAACTTACTTCCAAAGATAAGAAGTTAATAAAGAATCAATAAAAATATCTAAATGCTTAAAACGAGCATCGAATGCCTTCACCAAGGAAGTAGAAATAAGTAAAAGTTAATAAATTCCTAAACCTCCAATAAAAGCCATTAGGAAGTTAATCTAAACGACAGTTTAAAGAAAGTGAAAAGTCACTCAATTTCCAAATTGCAAAATTAAAATCATTACACAATTTGTCTGCAATTGCTAATGTGAAAATTCCATAGAAAATCCAGCCATGATATTTAAATTTTATATATTTTTTATGTAATATGAAAGAAGAAAGAAAAAAACAGTTTACAAAACATAACAAAAAAAAATTAAATTAATAAAGCAAAATGAAACAAAGATAAATTTCACTAAATTGAAGGAAGAAAAAAATAAATGAAAGTAAAAGTGAATAATTTCTCAGCAATCAAGTAGTTTCAATGTAAGAAAAAAGAAGTGCTATTACATAAAAAAAAAAACATAACCAAAAGGAAAGGGTTCAACATCAAGTAAGTCAAACACATTGTTAATGCTTTCTGATTTGATTTTTTTTTTGTTTTTTTTTATTTCTTTTTCGTGCCCGCGTGGTTACTTTTTTTCTCTTTCTCTCACTCTCGGCATATATCCATACACACATATTGCTACTTGACGATGCAAAAATTGAGCGTCAACAGCACCGAATTAAAAAAAAAGTTTCACTTTCGCTTTCGATTTTGAAACTTTTCACATGATGATGGAAAGGAAAGGAAAAACTCTTTTTTTTTGTAAATATGTTTATGCAAGGGCTCATTTCGCAATAATACGACCGTCGAGATCTCAATCGCAATAAATAAACAATTAATCTTTTTACTTTATTTTTGTAAGGAGGAGATAAGTAAAAGCTAGTTTAGAAAATGGCTATGACTAAGTATTAGATGACACATGTAGTGCATTTTAATTTTGCAAACTTCAACGGTTGTGACTAATTCAAATTGGTTAAAAAATTAACAGTCGAAAAAAATTTGAAATTCAACGGTGAGAACCTTTTTTTGAAAACTGACCTACTGAACCCTTAATAACCCCCTAATAATATTTAGAAACACATAGAAATCCATCCAGAGAAGTGCAAAAAAAAATCGATGGCAAAATTAGTGAATGGGAAAGTAGGAAGTGAGTGGTCTATCTTTCATTGAGCACTCTCACTTTGCACATTACCACATTCATTTGCTTTATATTTCATTGCATGTTCGGAAACAGGGAAAGAAAAAAAAAATCATTCAGTTGTGACAAAATATTGAACGAAGTGCATAAAGTGAAACTTCTCTTCCTCATTTGCTCTCTTTTCAGCTGATGTAAGGCAATTCTATCAAATTCAATGTCTAGATTTATAAACAAGCTCAACACTTGGTGGTGCAAATTCGAGAGAAAACAACAATTTTTTTCGTATTACATAATTTTTATCGGCATCACTTCAGTGCTTTCCTATGTCGTCACTTTTTAATACACTTCATAGACAAAAGCAGTAGAAAATTTCTCTTTTTCCATTCACATTTCTCATAAGCAACAATTCAGTTGCTCAGTTAAGTTAACTTTACAGCACGCAGTATGATTATTTCGAAATATTTGAATTTTAGTTCAATTTTCAAAACCAACACGAATGAAACTTTCCACAGCTCAAATAGACCATCCACTTTACTATTATACTGCATATTACATCATATCCATCACTGACATATTTTTTCTTTTCTCGCCCTATATTAGAATGTAATCTTTGCTCATATTTTAAATGCATCTATAGCTAGCTACAAACCTCATTTCCATTCCCATAAACTTTTTTTTTCTTTTTTTAATCTTATTTTATGTATTTTTCTTTTTGGGATATGTTGAAATGTTTACTTACGAGAACTTCTCGCAATCAACTTTCCTTAATTTATGATCGTATCAAATTTTAAGGTGCAAAAAAAAAATTAAAATGTGAAGCAAAAAGGTTTCATTTTTTTCCTTCCAGGAATTGAAATTGAATTTTTTTAAGACGATGACCTCAAAATGCACACAAAATAACACCATTGTGATGAAGACATGTGGTTTTTTTTCAACGAAACTTCTGAAATGAGCACACACGAATAATAAAATAAGTGCCAGTTGTCGTAACATTTTAATATTATTAAAAAAAAAATTAAAATGAAAGAAGGGAGATTCAATTTTATTATGACAAAACATGAGGGCAGACTGAACGGTTAGTAAGTTGCTCTTCTTGAGACAAATTAAAGGCAGGTGGAAAAAAAGAACTTTTTCCACATTTAAAACGCATGAGGTGTGCATGAAAGAGTTCATTTACTATAATAATAGTAAGTTCTAGTTGGGGTCAATCACTTGCGTTTACTTATTGCAACTTAACATTCTATAGGAAGAGTTCTAGTTCGGTCTGAAAGACTATTATTGAGCCGGTAGTATGCACTTCAACCTACCCGAAATTATACTAGAAGGAGTTTATACTAGGACCTAGGGGTAGGTATATGGTAAGGGCTAGTGTAGGCGTAGATGTAGTACCGTAAAAATTTCTCAGAGTCTCACATTTTAGAATAGCTGAGTAAACTTCTTAGTCATCAGGTAACAAAGCATTAAACCTATCCATCACAAAACGATATCGCCTCACATTCCCATTTGTATCAATTATAAACGACTCTATACTATTTCCTATGTTGTCAACCTTGAGTCAGGTACTTTACACCGAAGAAGCTATCGCACAGGCAAATGAACTTCTTCCAGTTATAAAATGAATGCTAAAAAAAGCACAACAGTGAGCGAAAAAAGAAAGAACAAAACAAAAGCAGAATACAAAAGGTAGTTTTTGGAATTCAATGAGTCTCACTTCCTCTAACAAGCAAAATTGAATTTGTCTCTTCATATATCTTTCTCTTGTTGTAGTTCTAAGTTGTACATAGTCGGTTAAGCAAATAAATAAACAGATGGAACAGAAATTTTCTACACGTTTTTAATCGTTATTGTTTAATCAATTACGAAGCATGGAAAAGTTCTTTGAACTCGATGAAAATAAGAAATCTAAAGCATAAAAAAAATTATTCTAGAACTTATGCTTCTTATATTTCATTTAGTTGCTGCTCGTACGTACAATTATTATCAAACAACAAGAGTAAAAAAAACTCTTTTTAGGAAATCAAATGAAAGAATTTTTTCAAAGTTATGTGGAATAAAATAAACTAGAAAATTGATGATACAAAAAAGAAATGGCGGTAATAAGAATAGGAAATGGAAAGAACAATCAAAGTACAGGTCATTCACGCCATACGTATCGTAAAGTAATTTGAATATCATTTTTTTCGGTAGCTTTGTTTATAATTAACATAGTTTTAAGGAAAAGTAGAGCGGTGAAGACGGAAATAATCTGGAATATCTCGTCAAATAAACTAAGTTTTCGTCAAAATAAAAGTGTTTTGAGTACTTTGTTGGCCGCTTTTTGAGTTTTGGATCAAGAAGAGTAATTTAAATAATGCACAAATTAGAAATATTAAAGATTGTGTTTTATCAAACGGAAATAAAATGTAATGTTGTCATTATGGACGAATGATTTAGTATGTTCAGCAATAGGTAATAAATGTTTGATGTGAAGGGTTCGAATCCTTATAATTAGAAAGTTAAAAAGTTTTTGTACATAGATGCGAAAAATTCTTTTTCAATTTTATTCTTTTTTCAATCAAAATTCACATATCACCTTAATTTTAGCTGCAAATCTTCCTAGTGTTCAAAACAATAGCAACAGAACCTCACATTCATCAGATAAATTACGGAAATTCACTTCATTTATAACCACCATAAGTACCCATCGTACCATAAAAAACACAAATCAATTAAATTGTGTTTATGCTAATTAAGTTTGCAAGTCTGTAGAAAACAAGCATTTAATATCTCATAAATTCTCTCTATCTATCCAGTGGGAGTACATACCATAACCATTTTGAATTCGCATGTGCTTTTGTGGTAATTGCGCACACTAAGATTTTTCTCTGCGAGTTTGTGGAAAGCTCCTAAAGAGCAGCAGTTATATTTAATTCATAATCCAAAAAACTAAAACCACACACATGGAATAAACAATAGAAGTAGTGACTATAACTAGTTTTCAGACATCAAGCAAACAAATCATAACTTGATATGTTTGACTCGAAAATATTCTAACTATGCATTGTATAACAACAAATACATAAATGGACGAAGAAATAGCCGAGAGGTAAAAAATGATGGAAATAACTCAGGTTCTTCATCTTAAAGCACCGTTGTATAACGAAATGAAATATCGATATGGTTCAATGCTTCCCCATTTCATTCTTTTTTTTTTACTTAAAATATAAAAATATGTGTATATGTACTTTTAATCTCTCCTACATCATCATCAGCGCCATCATCAAGTCAATTCATTTATGTTTTTAATAGCTTGGAGCGGCGTAGCCAGAATTTTTCGATAGGAAGGGTCTAATAAGTTACAAGATGTCCAAAAACAAAATCCCAAAAATGTGCACATACATAATTTATCGATCCTTTAGCAAATTAAAGAATTTTAAGGCAGGAAAAATACTTCAAATCCCTGACTCCCCTTCTGATTTGACTTGTGCTATGTAGGATCATGTATACGTGACATTACATGCGTCTTGATTGAAATCTGACTGTTTTATAAATACCAAGGATTTAATGTCAAACCACGGAAATGATCAATTACTCAAAAATCACATCAGAATCAATGAGAATATTTAAGTGCAGCACATGAAACTTTATTTTTGTGTGACAAGATATAAACGGCTATAAATATTTATAGAATCCCTCATTTTATCTCATTTTCAACAGTTTACAATAATTGCTGTACGACATCGTTGCTGTTGATGTAAATAAAGTTCATTGCTCGATAAATATTCTGTTTCTCTCTCTCCTGTCTCATTCGCTGTGCTGTGTATTTATACAACATTTTTCCACTAGAATAGACTCTTATGCTCTTGTGTGTTGAGAGTATATCTCTCCAAATACATATAATTATTATGTGTGAGAAATTAAAAATAAAGACAAAGAGTGACATTCCTTTATATTAAGCGTATGTTTTCATACATCTGCGGCAATCTCTCATGCCACAACAGGGGATCATCAAAAAAAAAAAAAATTATCTTTATTTCTCATTATTTGACTTAAACTATTTTTCACTCTGCTTTTTAATTCTTTTTTTATGGCTTGTCTGGTCATGCACGAAGGAATTGAAATGATACATGTGTGTATGGGTGGTCGGTATATAAATTCATTTTAAATGGTTAATATAAAAGAAAGACCACAAAACAGAGCCATTAAACGTTATGAATGAAAAGAATACGGCAATTGTTGACTGATAGAATGGTGCGAAAAGAGTGATTAATCATCTAAAATGTCTTCTATTATTTGGTACATAAATGATTTTATTTTTGGCAAAAGGAAGAAGAGATTTGAGGAGAAATTTGCGCGTTGAGTGAGACGATGTATTTTGATAGCTTTAAGCTGTCCAAAATGTGATGTAAATTTTTATTTTCAACGGACCTCCCTCCCTTATTACCATTAATGTAGGTCTATCAACTACCAAGCATTTGAACCTGAGCAACAAATCATAAAAATAATGAACAATCAGGTGTCTTATGATCCCCAAAAGTTCCATGTCATCCACCAATCCTTAAAATTGTACGTCAAAGGTCAACAATCCCAAACTCAAGTAATCTACTGGATCATCTGTATTCTTTGATCTATTTGAACAGTTGCAGCGAAAAAATGTGCATTTCTCAATTTTTTTTCCTCCGCAAACGAGAAACAAAAAAAAGTTCCATTTAAGATAAAGAGTTCATCGACCAAGAACATCAATTCCTTTGCACATTTATTTTCGCGTGATGCCAATGGACGAGCGAAGAGAGAGAACGAGATGAAAGAATCAACAAACTTTTCAAAAAAAAAATGTATATGGTCATCGCAGACTGAAAAGGTTTCGTAACGTTTAATATTTTGATATGTCATTATTGTCATCATCGCGTAAGGGTACTCAACCCGTACAAATGTGATGAACGAATATTCAGCACATTGCACCAAACAGAATATATATATTTTTTTTTCGTTATTCAATGTCATAATGCACATGCAGTCCACATTTTGTTTACTACTATCATTGTTATTTCTCTTCTCTTGAAAATTGCATGTATTAGTTTTATTATGAACACACGTCTAACGACAAATGCAATAATGTCAACAACAAATGCAACCTTTTGCTTGACATGCGCACTTTTGCGAATGCCGAAACAATTTACAAAATTTTTTTTTATCACAACGAGATCGTGCATTTCGTGCATTTGGGTAAATTGCTGTAAAAATAAAAATTTTACAATGATAGCAACACTTTAAGTATTGCCCAAGGCTGTATAAGTACTTATTCATGCCGTTCATCCTTCATAAAAAAATATTTTAAAATGAGAAAAAAAATAATCAGGCAGAAGAAGAATAAGAAGAAGGAGTAGGAAAGAGCGCGTTGTAAATTTTGAGCGAGCACAGCGGAGTAAATGATGGAGTTAAGAAGAATTATGGCTCATTGAGTGCATGCCTCCAGACATATAGAAGCACATCGCATGAGGTTAGGTCATGGTTTTTTGTCTTTCACTTACCTGAGTATAACACCAATTTTCAGCAACTGGCGTATTAACCTCTGCCAGAGGTGGTGATGGCACTCGACTTACTGCCATTGTACTGCTGCTAGACGAGTGCAGATTGGATGTAACTCTAGCAGTTTGGCCTGCCGGACAGTCGTTCACTACCGGCAATCTATAAATGAAACAAGGAACAAAGAATAACAAATTAGTATAAATCATTTGCAAATAAGACATGGACATAAAGAGAAATGAGAATAAAAAAAAATTGTAACATCTTTAAATGTGCAAATTAAAAGCAGGTGTCATTGTCATTAAATTCGACAAATTTTAAAAAAGAAAGAATCTTTTCAATGTGCACACAGTATCATCTGGCTACATTTAATAATAAAAGAGAAAGACAGTATTCATAAATAAATACATGGTCAACTATGGAATGGAAAGTATGACAGCAATAATTTTTTGTGAAATTTATTAATTGATAATTAAGTCGTTGCTAGGGAAAAAGTCATCCATTTGGTATACTTAACAGATGAAAAGTGGACCATTAATTTTTTGGAGTTGTTGCATTTTGGAGTAAGTGGAGTATTTATTTGAGTTTGGGCGTATTTTAGTTTTTGTCAATATTGATCAAAGTTTTTAATAGGATGTGGGTTCGAACCTCCGATAATTCAGAAAAATTATAACAACATTGAACTACAACTTTTTTTTGCCATTTTATAAAAGCTATCGCAGTCTGTCAATTAATTCCTTCAAACTTTCTTAATCTCTGCAAATAAGAGCCCCATTAAACGCAAGAACATTTTAATTAATTTTTCTGCAATTTCTCTGCTCATTTCAGTAGCAATTTAAGCTTTTGTGTAATTTGTATGGAATTTAAATTCTTTTTTATTATCCAGATTATGGAAATGAAGAAGAAAAACGCCGACAATCCGAGAGCGAATGTAAATAGAGAGAAGAAATGTAATTTAATGTGATTTTTATTACCTGCCCAATGCTGCACTTAACAGTAAGAAGCTCATAATTCTTATTTTTATGAATTTGAGCAATTACTTTTCTCTTTTATGTAAATTTTGAACCTTAAATGGTACAATAATATCCTAAAGTATCACAGTTTATATGGACATTTTGGTAACTAGTTGAATATCTTAAATTCCATTGTAAATTCCAATTCTAACTTAAGTATTTTTATTTACAAAACTAATTAAGTTTCAATTTAGCATTTCTAATATTTGAACACATTAGCAACAAAACAACACAAAATAAAAACTTTCAAAACGAAAACTGACCCGAACAATAAGAGAATCAGAGGCAGACTGACTGTAGATTTATGTTTTCTATGTATTTTTTTTTCGCCAAAATATATTTTTTGTGTACCTAGAAAAAATTTCTTTTTTTTTTGTTGTTTCTTCTTTTCACCCAGAAAAATGGAAGAGAAATAAAGAATTGAAGATTATAAAATTCCTTTAGGTGTGCATGCTAAAGGGAATGATGCTTCTTAAGTGTGTGTGTAGAAGATCCTTTAAGTAGATACAAAGAATCTGTTGCCTGAAATTCTTCAATTCTTTTTTTTTTACTCCTCCTTAAAATGAATGAGAATGCACAATCTGCTCCTTAATTTACACAGACAATCATTCACAAATACCCATAACGTATGAACCTACACATAGACTCATTGATCACACACATAAGTTTTCCTTAGAACATCTGGGCAATTCTTTTCTTCTATAAGTTTGATTTATTTCTTTAATAAAATGTACATCTGAGAAGTCAGCAGCACGAATCCTTAATTTCTTTAACTATTTAGTGATGTAGAAAAAAATAATTTTTCATGCACATCCAAAATTATTAGAACATTTTTAATTTCTTATTTCTATTATTCCTGCTCAGATTACGACTCCCTTATTTTGTGTTGTCTTCAAATCAATCAATCACCTCGAGAAATGAATGAAGCATTCATCATATTGGCGACAATAAATTTATCGAATTATAAAAATCTCTTGATATTAAATGATGACGAGAAAAGGAAAGGAAATTTGATATTTTTGTGTTTCATTTCTAGATCATTACCTAGAAATTATTTGGTACACGAAATAAAAAAAAAATATTCTTAAATCACACAAAATTTTGATGGATTTTGGAACAATAAAATGGTAGGAAATGTCCTCATTGTTCTGCTTTAAGAACGCATTTATGGGTTCAGAGATTTATGCTCAGAGCTAGAACAAGATTGATTTTTTGAGCTAGCACAATCATGCAACTTTATTTGACTCCTATATAAATGTATAAATTACTCTTGTTATACCTGTCCTAAGTATGGAAGCTAGTAGTGTACAGAACATTTAGTTTTATAGTCTCCTGAGTTAGTCTGACTTGATCTAATTCTAAGACAGCCAGACACAATAACAACTTTTGAGTAAAACCTCTTAAATCATTCCAAACACGATCAAGATTGTAGTAAATAATGATGATATTGACAACGATGCAACAAGGATATCACGTCTTTAGTTTTGTTATACAAGGAGTTTTTTAAGATAATCATGAGAGATTAAACTGTCTGTTTATTTTTTTCCTCTCTCATTCCACAAGAAGTAGAAAAAATGTTTTCTTGTTTGGAAGCCATGATGTCGACCTCAATTTTTATAATGCTCAACTTGAATGCTGCGATGAGAGATCCTTTCATGACCTCGAATCAACAAACTACCTGACAATATTATTATAATAATTTCTTTTCCTATGAAATTTAAGTGAGTTGTGTTAAAGAAACAAGGAAGTTGAGTGAAAATGTGGAGCAATCTCATAATTTCTTTTTGCCATTCTCATCCTGATGCTTCCATTTTTATATAAATTGTACTCTTTCACCCTGATAATCTCATTTCTATTGGGTTACTAAAGATTTATAAAAATATTTTATCATTCTCATATTTTTCTTACTGCGTGTTTTTGTACTATGGCAACAAAAACATTCCAACAAGAGATGAACCTGACATATATATGTAGTTCTACTTGATGATTGCAATTTTCATAGGTATTTGCATGAGAAACCTCTAGAGATTTCAGAACCCTTGAAAAAAAAAATCCTAGCTACACCCCTGACCTGGACATGTCATTTTTCGTCCATAAGACTATTCATTCAAGGACTCTAGAGAGGCAAAATATTTCTATTTACAGCTTTCTCTATTCTTCTTTCTTTTGTTCATGCTTACACATAACATAATATCTCACCATCATCACATCTCGAGCATAAAAATGCTATCAAAATAAAATGAAATTTCTCTTTTTTTGCCTTTTTCATCTCTGGCATATTTTTTTTGGCGAATGTCGCAATGGTTCATACAATCCAATTTTGTGCACCCACAAAAACCACACAATAAGAAAGGAAAGAAAAATGAAATAAAAGTATCAAGAGACTATCCACATACGATTCATAAATTATTTAAGAAGATCTAAAGACTTTTGTTTAATAAATTTTATCATGGATGGTTGGGACTTGTTTATGAATCACGTCACATGATAAGCAAAGCAAATCGAGCTGGATGGCAGGTCATAATCAGGTGTAGGTTAGATCATAATGTCCCTAGATAATTTATTATTTTTTAACGTCACTTATGAACAACCCCGATACAAAATCATAACTTCCTTAGTGATACATATCAACAATGGATGAGTAGATGGATGGATGGATGAAGAGAAAATAAAATGGATAAAAATTATATTTACACATTAAGTCATATCGCAATTGTGAATATGAAGAGAAAAGATTGGAAAAACCAGTAGAAAGTTTCTCATGCACAGCATTTAAATTATGATTTAAGTTATTATATCTTTAAAGTAAAAATATCATTGCGCACATACTAAATTGAGTTTTATATCATTTTTCTTTCTTCCTTTTTTGAATGAAGCAAGATGATAAACATGTATGAGCCATAAATTTTATTTGTGGTACTTTTGAAATGCTTTATAACTTTTTTTTAATGCATGACAAAGTCGTGAGTAAGTTGATCATCGAAAATAAAAGATGTGTTAATTTATTTATTATTGCTAGTGACAAGTTTTTAACGTTATTATTATAATTTTAAGAGGTGAAAATTTCATTTTATATGATTTAATTTTCATATTTTTATGTTCCATGAAATTGATAGCATGTGACTTCATTAAATTTATATGAGAGTATGTGCAATTTTATCAGGCTGTCGGTTAATTTTTTAAAGGAAGTTTGATAAGTAATTTGCATAATTTTTTATGGATTCATGCATATTTTAAGCGACAAATTGTAAATTTAAAAATCTCATTGTAAACAGACTTGAAGTGAGAGGATTAAGCTTGAGAGTCATACTGCTAAGGTATTTCAATTATCCTTGTATTATGATTACTCATGATTTTAAAAGGTTAACTAGGCTTAAGAGGTGTATGAAGCTCAGAATCACTATACTGAATGTGCATGATTTATACCTAAAGTGAGATGAGGCTAATAGGTGTAAGTTCCAATCCTACTAAGTCTAGCTTATGTTAGTTTGCTACAATCAGAGCAAAACCCTTTTTCTAGACTATATGTCAGATTCTATGGATTAATGAAATAATTCCTAGTAAGTGTGATTCACCAGCTTGCAAAGTTGGAGACTTTAAGTTTACAGTCTACAAAATCATAAAGAGGAAATTATTTCAAAATTTCTCAAAAAAGGAACTAAAAAATCCAAAATAACCACCAATAAAAATTCCAACTCTCAACCATTGCGCCACGAGATAAAAAAACAAACATTCCAATTTATTATTTTCACATCCACAAAAGCGCATATTACATTAATCCACGGAGAAATTAATTTATCACCAGCCATTGCAAGACAACATTATGTAATGCACAAAAAAAAATCTGTAGTGTGGCGCTATGAAACAAAAATATTTAAATATGGCACTAAAAAAATAAATTCGATTTTAACAACGGCATTACATCATGTGAGAAAAGAAAAGCATTTCATTTAGAAGAAAAATTACCTTTCTCTCATGGATTAAAATGAGGCAGCAACAACTTTTTTTTCGTGATTGAGTGGAGAGAGATGCGGAAAATAATTTATTAACTTTATTTGTAGCGAATAGTTAAAAATTTCTCTTTTTTTCTGCACACTTGCATAACACTACTTTTGTTCAGCTATTTAAAAATTTACATTTTTTTTCAGT